GTTTATTGTGCGCAGGATCTGACTTTCATTTCTCACACATACGCAAATAGTGAGTTCTATGTGTGGTGATTACTAAACGAATACTCGGTGGCCCCCCCCCCCCCCGCCGCAAACGTGCTCCACCGGTACAGCTTGTGCTCCGTCCCTCTATTCCTTAGTCCGTGAACGAAACACAGCAAATTTCACTGCTACCAGCTGAACTATTTTTACTGGCAGTAACCAAACCTATTTTCGAACACACTATAAAATAGTGATTAATTTATCCGCAATGGATTAAAATCCGTTCAATCAAAAACCCTATTAATCACTATTTTACTATGAATTCAAGTCTTTTATTGGCGGAAATAAAGCAATGACGTCATTAATCAACCTTGGATCGATCAAAATCCGTTCACTCGAAAACACTATAAATTTGACAAATATGCATAAAAATTTCAACTTATATTGTTTTCATGTTTACAAATGGCATGATCACCGAAATTGGTATTCACCGAAAGATAATCGAAAACGATCGACCAGAAAGTTTCACGTGTGATGAATGGAACTGAATCGAAACAGAAAACATAACACGCAGGCGCCCGATACGACACTCCCAGAACTTCAGAACATCGGTCCACTTCATATCGTTCAGATTCGGCGATGCAAGTCGGTCGAAACGTATAATCAGTAGTTTACAGTTGTTTATCAATATACTGTTACGCGATTGCGTCATTTGATCAGCGAGTAAAAAGTGACTATCTTTCGTGTTATCGTTACTGTGCACTATTGCTGCTAACCAGGACGTCAAATAACGACTCGGCACAAGTAGCGAGGTAAATACATATCTGCATCGTAATATTCAAGACTATAGCAAACAATTATCGATTACGACTATTTCCAGAAAGAACGAGTGACGCATCGAATTGACGTGTTGTCGCACGGCTTTCGCAAATTTTTCATGCTCATATTTACATTTTGCAACAGAGCAAACGCGCTTTCGTGCGAAATAGCACGTAATTCATTAGGAGGTCGTTTACACACTTGACGTACAATTAGAAACTCGAAGAAAAAGCGCAATTTCTACATCGCTATCAAGAATTATAATTGTGATAAGTTCTGTGGCTTGATAGCAGAGACCTTATAATCGCAAAGAATTGAGTTTAAGAAGTGGTATAACGTTTCTTTAGGATTCAATATTTTTTATATTTTTCCGGACGTTGTTCAATTTTTTTGTTTTGTTTGGTTATTGTGCGTATGATACTCCCAACAGATCACAATACTTATCACGATTAAGTAGTATGATACATCACAAATCATTTGTATTATGTATATGTAGAGATGTGGGTGATATACATACATAGGAGTGTGCATGAATAAGTGTGTGTGCGCGCGCGCATATACGCGTAAATTTTTTCTGGAAAAATTGACACGTATATGTAGATTATTATTAATCTCTCTCCAGATAGTTCGACATTGAAATATGGCGTTACACTATATTTGTGACTAAACAGAAAAAAACATATGCTGAAAACAAATTAAATGCATTATAAAAGGTAAAAAGTATTTGATAAACACATATACTTGTTTTGCTCTGCTATTAATATTAGTTTTTCTAAGGATTTTCCTTTCTATGAATATTAGCTTCAAGTTTCCGAAAATGTAGATCGTCTCTGTTCGAGCTAATATAAAGACTAAGTATCAAATGTGTATATAGTATATTAAATTCTTTTTGTTTATAAGCAACGAGTTGGCATGACATATTAATGTTTAAATCTATTATTAACTGTGTATATTGACAATAATATATAATATTGATGTGTAATATTGAAATAATTCATAATAATGAGAAATGAGAAGGGGATCAAGAACCGACGCTGGATCTAGGTGCTTCATAAATCTTCTTTATTTAAATTGGTTGTAAACGTTTTGGTCAACAATTCGACCATCTTCAATGTGAATTTAAGTTTGGTGTGAATATTTGTTAGTAGTCATCCTTTTGTATTGGTGTCATTAAATTTATCTAATATCAGGTATGTGTTATAGCAAGATTGCGTACACTAACGTATTACAAATTTCACTGATCTCAATTTTAATATTATTGACTTAATAGAATTGATGTACTGAAGATGGTCGAATTGTTGACCGAAACGTTTACAACCAATTTAAATAAAGAAGATTTGTGAAGCACCTAGATCCAGCGTCAGCTCTTGATCCCCTTCTTATTTCTCATTATTATTTATTAATGTGAGCTTTGAAACAAATTCTTGAAATAATTCACTTAATAATTTGTGCTTTTACATAATAATACATTTTTCAGTTTGATCAAATGGAAATACAAATAAATCTAAAAATTGTCAATTTTTTGTTTATATTATTACTTTATGGTGATGCCAAAAAGTGTATTAATATTTTAACACTATCTCTTGTTTTGATTAAACAATATTGATTCTATAAGATAATATCGAGATTGAATATTCTAAGATAATTTAAATCTTTTATAATGTGCGGTTATGCATGAGTCAGAAATTCTATATCTTAGTAGGATAAGTGTATTTTTTCAGGTATTTGTCTATAACTTGTTGAGCAAAAATGTGAAGTATTTACTTTTTTAGCAATATTCAAGGATATTGAAAAATCATGATGTAATTAATACATTATAGGCTAGGGATGCCAAATTTAAATTATGACATGATTAACACTTACTGAAATGAATGTCATATCTTTTGCTAAAACTTAAACATTTATATTTGTTATCATTTTTATTAAAAAAATTTTTTTTAATTTATTTTAAGAATAGTTTGATACAAAATGCTATGTTGAGTTATAATAGACAGTAAATTTTCTTCAATAATTTTATATAATGTCACATTTTGAAAGTCCCTGATGCACTTGTGTGTTGCAGTTCCGTTATTATTTTATCTCCAACTTAGTTATAATAACAGGTTCTTTTTCAGCTAAAACCAAAAGATGACAACTTGGCAAGCACCTGGGGCAGGGTTCTATCCGGGGCAACAAGGTTCTGATCTATTTCCTTCTGTTTCCAATATATTTTCCATTATTATATTTTACTGTTATATTTGATGTCCATATCATTCAATCAACAATTAGCATTGTATTACTAGCTTAAAAGGACATATATATTGAAGCTAATGATACAATGATTATTTTTCATTAACACTTAAAATATGACAAAAGATTATCACTGAGTTAATATATCTAACAAATTATATTAAGCATAATTAGCGTCTTCGAGAAGCCAATTTACTGCACAATCATGGAAAGTTAATTTCACACAAAAAAAAGCACTATTTAAGAGTAGTAGCCGCTGTTAGTGCACAGAGTTCTTCAAGTTGCTACTTACGCTTATAACCGAGGTTACATTATGCAATAGCATTTATGTTCTAGTTCATGTTTCTCAAATTTGACTGTGCAGGTCCATACCCGTACCCTCAACAAAATCCTGGATATCCGCCACCACAGGAAGGCTACCCATATCCTCAACAAAATCCGGGATATCCACCGCCTTATTCCGGTGGAGTTCCGCCAGGTAGACGTTAATACGCTATTTAAACAATTCGAGAAAGTATCATAGTTATTTATTCATTGAATATTACTTTTGAACAGGTCCGGGATTTATACCTCCACCAGGTGCACCACCTTACGGTGAGGCACCGCCGCCAGGAGTTGGTGCAGGATTCGGAGGAGTACCACCCATTCATCCAGGAATGTACGGGTCCGGCTACGGAGAAGACCCTCTGCAGGATGAGGTCAAAGGATTTGAGTTTAATGACAAGACTATCAGGAATGGCTTCATCAGGTAGATATCGTGATACCTAAATCAAGTTTATCAAGTCTTACGAAGAATATATATATTGTTTTTCTTTTTTATAGGAAAGTGTACAGCATTCTGATGTGCCAATTGCTCATCACACTTGGAATGATTAGTCTATTCCTTTATCATAGACCCACGCGAGAATGGGTCGGAAGACACACAGAATTGTTTTGGATCGCTTTTGCCGTAACTATTGTCTTGATCATATGTATGGCTTGCTGTACCAACGTGAGACGTAAAGCTCCAATGAACTTTATATTCCTATTCTTATTCACTGTGGCAGAGGCTTTTTTACTGTCCATAGCCTCTTCAACTTACAAGTCCGAAGAGGTGAGTGATTTTAATACTACATTAAATGATGTAAGCGATATGTGAGAAACTTGGAGAAATGCATCCAGGATGATTACAAATATTCTTTAGCTTTAATATTTTGAAATCCATAAATACATATTGAACTCGCTCTTCTATTTATGAGTTATTCAAGACCTACATGAAAATTATTTTTGCAGGTCATGCTGGCTGTTGGAATTACCGCGGCCGTTTGTCTGGGCTTGACACTATTTGCATTTCAAACGAAAATTGATTTTACCGGATTGCACAGTGTTCTGTTTGTTGCTCTGCTCGTTTTAATTATTTTCGGCATAGTCGCGATGATCTGGCCCGGAAGAACGATGACCTTAGTTTACGCCGCATTGGGCGCGCTAATATTCTCTCTGTATCTAATTTACGATACGCAAATGATGATAGGCGGAAAGCACAAGTATTCCGTCTCGCCGGAGGAATATATCTTCGCCGCGTTGAGCCTATATCTAGATGTTATCAATATTTTTATCTACATTCTAACTATTATCGGTGCTTCGCGAGACTAATTGCTGTCAATTCCAATATTTTTGTCTTGCGTTACTACTATTATGGAATATACAGCCAGCTTTTACTTATCGCCGTCCTGCTCTGGTTCTCTACTTGTTGAGAGCACTGTAGGCAGCAAATGATGAAGTGTAAAGGGTGTGTAATATTGGCAAGACTTTTATTTTTACGAAGAGATAGCTTTTACAAATTTTCAAAGATTAATGAGTATAACACAAATAGCACGCTTGGATTCGAAACCTTTTTGTCTAGTTTCATAAAAAAAAGTAACACAACCTGATATTTTCTATTCCTTTAGGGAAAAAAACTGAATATAAATTCTTATAACTGTGGTAGAGAATAGTATTATTACTGTTATTATTGTTACCATCATCATCATCATCATCATCATCATCATCATCATCATCATCATCATCATCATCATCATC